TAGAGTGTGAGAAGGAGAAGGAGTGGGATGGTGGTTCTCGCGACTGTGATGGGGGGTGGTGCAACCGAGACCCGTGGTGGTTGGCGTGGTGAGGAGAAGGAGGAAACTAAGGTGAAGGTTAAGAGTGTGGGGAGAATGGGTTAATTGGAAATGGGGTGGGACTTGGCCGTTTAGGGTGCGGAGGAGCAAGGACAGGGGAAAGAGGAACAGTGGATGGTGCGGTGGTGACAGTGAGCTAGGGTGAGATGGATGACTGTGAGTATGACAAGGTGATGTGGTGGGTGTGAGTGGGATCTTGATCATTGATATTGTGAGTAACAAATAATATATTATTAATAAATAATAAATAAATATAAAAGGAAAAAATGAGATAAAAGGGTAAATAGATAAAATTGTAAATATATACTTAAATATATTAAATGATCATTAAATTAGAGGGAGACAAAATCATAAATTATACGAGAGTTACAAAACTGAGGAGGGACTGAGAGGATAAAATTGTAAATATACAAGTAAATATATTAAATGTTCATTAAGTTTGGGGAGGGCAAAATCATAAATTACTTAGGAGTTACAAAACTTTGGAGGGGTCACGCCCCCTCAGCTCCCAAGAAGATCCGCCACTAGTGGTTGTAGTTGGGTGATTGGTTGACGAGGGTAGCTGGACAATGGGGAATGGAGGCCGGCGGAGATTGGGAATGAGGAAGAAGAGAAAGCGGTGAAGGGTAGCGCTTTCTTGGTGCTATGCCCGTGAGTGTCTGAAATCTGGACACCGTCTCCCCTTCTTAAAAACTCCTTATGATAAAAGAATTAGGTAATGAAAATTAAGGCAATCACTCTAATATTGGGCTAGACCAAAAATCTATTCTTGTTTTTTTTATATGGTAAAAAACTTGTAAAAAACAATCGCCTCCTCTTTTTTTCTTTATTTATTTATGTTAAAAAGATAAACACTAATAAAAGTAATTATTATATATATTTTTATTTTATTTGAGAAATGGAAACAATTAATAAAAGAAAATTTTATTATTTTTCTCTTTTTTCTTAAAAGAGTAAAATATTAGCAAGAGAAATTATATTTTTCAAATATATATATATATGAATTTTAAGAGTAAAATATTGAGAAAAATTAAACTATTTTTTTTTATATTTTCAAAACAAACGCTGCTATTTATTATTATTTTTATCTACCGGAATGAAATTAGGTGCTGACAGAGGATATGGATAAATGTTGCGGGTTGTAGTGCTGTGGTTCGGTGGTGGTTGGGCTCGATTGAGGGGGAGAAACAGAGTGAGTAAGGGTCATGATGAATGAGAGTGTTGCGTGGGGTGAGGAGGAGATGAGAGGTGAGGGAGTTATACTTGAGAAAAATTAGGGTAAAAGATTTTATTAGGGTAAAATGTAATGGGTTAGTTTTTTTTTTCAATTATATATTATTTTTTATTTATTATTATGGATAATAAAAGAGAATATCTTTATATTTTTTCATTTTCATTTTTTAAAAATGGAAAATATTAAGAAAAAAATGAAATTTTTTGTTTTATCTTTTAAATCCTTTTTATTATTTTTTTCATATTTTCAAATATTAATTTTTTAATGAAATTAATTTTAATCAAAATAATTAAGTGATATATATACAATTATTTATTATTTATTTTTAATTTATTAATATTATCAAATTTTAGCTTAATAATTAAATCTTATGTTTTTATTTGAAATTATTCATGTTTAATTAAAAAAATTACCAATAATTTAAATTTTATTAATTCTATAAACGTATATAATTATTATTATTATAAATTTAATTCTCCAATAACTAATAATATTAACACATTTATTAAATTGAATTTCTTTATTTTAATTAATTATTTTAAAAAAATTAACATTTTTTTTAAATAAATACGATAAAACTTAAAATTAATTTCTAATTAAATCTTCACATATTTATTATTAATAGTTTATTGTATTATTATGTTTAATTAAATTTTAAAATTTTAAAATAAGTTTACTTAATCTTTACATTTTCATATAAAAATGACTAATATAAACTTAAAATATTAATTAGTAATTAAAATAATTTTATTTTTTTATAAATACATTGAAATAATTTTTATTAACATACAAATAATATATATATATATATATATATATATATATATATATATAAAAGACTAAATTAATATTTAATTTAATGATTGATTCATTGATCGATGATTAATTTAATAATTAATTCTAATTTTTTTATTTACATACTAAATTAAAAAATAAAATCAAATAATTATATTACTAAATTATTTAATAAGTTAGTAAATTTTTTTTTAAATTTTTATAATATTATCAATTATTTTAAGTTATTAGGTAGATTTATATTTAATATATTATTAAAATATTTATATAAATGAAAAATAGTTATCAATTTAGAGATTATTTGTTTTGTGACTGAAATTTTAGTCACTAAATCAGTTACTAAATATAAAAAAAATATTCAGTTATTATTAATAACTAAATTTTTCTATCACTATTAATTATTTTTCTATCACAATTAATTATTTTTTTTAGTAGTGTTTTTTTATTTTCGGACTTGTTCTTCTCAAGTACATGTATAAGACTAATAGCTCCAATTATGGGTAGAATTTTGTATCATTATATCCAGCTCAACGCCAATACAATATTCTGAAATGTCTTTCTCTTCTTCCAAACTAAAACATCAAGGTCCTTACCATTCATTCATTTTTATATCCTTTTCTTTCCTAATTTCCCCGCATAACATAAAAATTGTAAGTTTTTATTTTTAATTTTTCTCTTTTACCGTTTCACATTTATATTATAAATTTTGTAACTTTTTGTTATTTAGTTTTTCTTTTTCTCTTTGGTTCACGTTGGAGACATTTTCATGTTGGAGAAAGACAAGAAATTAAAAAATAAAGGAGATATCCTGGAATATTTTTCTTTAAGTAAAGAAACAGTGAGTAAAATTATTTTCTTGATTGTTTTTCTTTATTATTATGGCAAATTAATATATGTAATGTAGTATAAAAATATGAAATATTGATATAAATTATTTAGTTGTTTTAATGTTTTATTATGCTTATTTTCATGTTAAAATGTGTAAAAAATTATAGACTTATTTTTCAAGAGAAAAGAGAGGATAAATGATGAGATAAATTTTCGTTTATCAAATTTAACTTCAACAAGTAATGTTAAAAATATTGTTGAGCAACCTACAATTGATCAACATATTCAACAACCTTTTCTCAAAATTATGAGGATTGAATGTGAAAAAATTGATATAGATACTTTGATATGTGGTCCTGAAAAACGTCCACAAATTTAGGATTATCTTATCAATCAACAAGATGAAATTCATATATGAAGTTTGAGCCTTGTCAATTTTCTATGGATGAGTATCAACTTTTGGATTCAGACAATCATCCTTGTCAATTTCAAGCTAATTGACTCAAAAGTTTTTCTTGGTACATTTTGTTTACATCTTTTTGTTAGAAAGGTTCAAAGTGAAATTTGTAATGAGATTGATGATGCAAAATTTTGTTTGATTGTTGATGAGGCTCAAGATGAATCTAAAAAACAAATGGCTCTTGTTCTTAGATTTGTTGATAAAGAAGGTTTTATTAAAGAGTGTCTAATAGATGTAGTACATGTAAGAGAGGCTACTACAACCACTCTTCAACAAAAAATTTGTTTAGTATTGTCTCATCATATTCTCAATATTAAAAGTGTCAATTGTCAAGGATATGATGGAGCTAGTAATGTGCCTGGAGAGTGAAAGAAGTTACAATATTTAATTCTTCAAGAATGTCCTTATACATGTTATGTACATTGTTTTGCTTGTAAATTACAATTAACTCTTGTAATTATGGCTAAAGAAATTGTAGATGTTCATTTTTTAAAACTTAACTAATATTGTAAATGTTATGCGTTCTTTTTGTAAACACAATGATGAGTTATATGTTACTTATACAAATGAAATAGCTCGTTTAATTGAAATATATGAGATTGAGAGGAGGAGAGGAAGAGGGCTAATCAAATTGACACATTGCAAAGGTCAAAAGATAATAAATAGAGTTCTCACTTTAATTCAATATATAGTTTTTTATGCATATTTAGTGTAACAAATTCTGTTCTTGAAGATTTAGTCATTAACATATCTACATACTCTACACGAGGTGATGTTATTTATACTCTTAAATCTTTGATGTTATTTGATTGTGTGTTCGTTTAACATATGATGAGAAAAATTATGGGAATCACTGATAAGCTTTGTCAAGTATTGTAACAAAATCTCAAGACATTTTGAATGTTATATATTTAGTTTCTAACACAAAATCATTAATTCAAAAGTTAGGAGATTGTGGTTGGGAACACTTTTTGAGAAAGTTGGCATTGACTTTTTTTTTTTTTGGAAAATAAGAAAATGAAGTTCCTAATACAAGTGTTTCTTTCTCTTATATAATTCAATCTCCTCATCCAAAAAATGTTGTCACATTTAAACATCATTATTGTATTAATATATTTATTATTATAATAGATTATCAGTTAAAAAAATTGAATAGTAAATTCAATATACACAGCCAAGCTTCTCATATTTAGTACCAATTTAGATTCCTAAAAATAATTAAAAAAAAATTAATACTTCTAACATTTGTTGACTTAAAATCCATATTATCATGTCATAATAGTCATTACTATTTGTATCAAAACAATGATATCAAAATAAATGATCTTGAATTAAAAGATAACAATCATTAATTGTGTCCATTGCAGACTTTTTCTTCACTTCAGGTTTTTGACATTATTATACATTTAATATTCAATATTCACCCGGAGAGAAATCATACCATCCAAAAGCATATATATATATAGAGAAAGAGAGAGAGAGAGAGAGAGAGAGAGAGAAAATGAGATTATGAAGCAACAAATCAAGAAATCCTATAATTCCGAACGAAACATAAGGCACAGCAAAGGGTCATCATTAATCGATTTATCTGCACAAACAACAGAGAATTATTGGTGTTCCATATCCATTGCTTTGCTCCAATGCTTTATCTGGCGCTCTTCCATCACCAAATGTTGTTGATGAACCATGAAACAGCGAGTTTGGCTCTTGAACTGGGGACAAATGATTAGGTCCATGAATGTTAGAACATTGATTATTCTTTCTTTGATTTGCGGCTCTTCTTTCTGACACAAGATTGTTACCAAGTGAGGGAGCAGCAGAATTCACACTCACTGCATCAGTAGTTAGCTTTGAACAAAGTGAGAACAACCAATGCCTCAGCTTGTGATTCTTTTCGTTGTTCTTTGAGGGTTGCACCATTCTTCCTCTGCTTGATCTCCTTGAGACTTCTAGGAAGCTAGAAATTCCAATGAGGCTGCCAAGCGTGATGCTCTTGTCTCGGAAGAATGTTCCAGTGGACTAAACCGAGCCATATGAAGTTAGACTCATGAAAATTGCTAACATGCATAATCTAAAATTTTGAATTACTATAAAGAATGTGTGGAAAATGGCAGGGCTCATGTTATGTATTTGATTTGTGTTTGTTTAGAATACGATTTCTCAAACTTGAGTCATATAAAATTGAATCAAACCTTCATACATTTGTTAGAAAAAAAATCATTGACCTGTGAGTCAACATCTGAGGAAGAATCAGTCGAAAGGGTGGGAGAAGCAGTGAGCATAGTGCTGAAGGAGACTGATCCAGAGAAATCACCATTTCTCTGTAACCCAATTCTTGCATTCAATAGTCTCAAACCCAAAGGCCACCCTTCTTCCTGCATTAGCTCCAAAGCAAGGCAAAGGGTACAAACATATAAGACAGAATATGAAAAACTTATATTTGTTATTACTAAATAAAGTTGCTCCAAGCACTGTCAAGTAAACTAGATTATACTACTTTAGTATTACAAGAAGGATAAGGAGACAAACATTACACAGAAAGAGTTATTAAGAGAAATTTTATCATGGATAATATCTCTCAAATTCTTTTTAATCAGCACACTAATCCAATGTACTTTAACACCATTCATGAATCTTGTATAGTGACATTTGAGGTGATAACCATTAACCAAAAACACCCTTAAACTTTAAGAGAATCGAATGACATGTATATATATATATATATATATATATATATATAAGGATAGAAGTTTACTGCTGTTTCTGATATAAGAAAAACTCTTCAATTATTTAAAAACCATCTATTTGAAGCATTTTGGTATATGAATGTACTGTGTAATGGGGGAGAGAAATGATACCTGCAGACCCATTACTCTGTTTGAGTGAATTGAATATGTTGGAGTAGAGAATGAAGATAAATAAATAATAAGAATAGAGTGCAGATGTCGTAAAATAAAATATATAGTTTAATAAATTTATATAATGAAATTATTTAAATTTTTAAATTAAATTATATATATTAATAAATAATATTATTTTGTATTTTTTAATAATATAATATTATTTTGAAGATTCTTACGAGTTTGTATGAATTTTTAGATTAGTTTATCAAATTAAATCTTACTTAAAAAAAAAAAAATAGAAAGAAAGAAGGAGAACAAAAAAGAAATCATTTCCTAAATATACCCTCTGACCAAAGGTAACACAAGAAAGTAAAATTCAATGAATACACACAGAACAAAACAAAGGAATCAGCATTGATGAGATGATGGCATAGCTGTACATCTATGAAATTGTGAGCATTGTAGAATGGATGTGAGTGGAAGAGTTTTTCTGTTGCAAGCTAATGCAATTTAACTGCATTAATTGTCTCTGAAAGTCAAAAAATGAGACAAAGTAGAGGGTGACATGAGAGTGACTTCTGATCTGTTTTTTCCTGCAACAATATGAGCTCTGGTTTGAGTGATACATCAGATTGTAGCAGCAGTGCGCAAGTGGGAATATTTTATGTACCAGTTATTAAAGAACACAGTACAGTTGTGTGTGTCAGAATAATACTCAACGTTAACATGGATTACCTGGGGAAAAAAATTATAAACTCTAAACTGTAGCAGTTTATATTCTTTAATTAAATAGTAGAGAGTTTAAAGAATATAAAATATAATATGATTGAAATCACATTAATATTATTTAATATAATAATATTACATAAAAAATTTAATTTTATAATAATATTTTCTTCATAACATTAATAGATCATTAAATATTCTATACATAATTTCAAAATATTTATTATTATATTATATATTTTGAAGGTGTGTGATGATAAATGAGCTTGTCATAGAGACAGTTTGATTGTTTGAACATAGAATATTATAGTTTGATCCCTTGTAGTGAATAATGGTTTCACAAGTTTTTCGAAAAAAATTTACTCTAAAGTGACATATATAAATTTAAGAAAATTGTACACAATAGTTGAAGGTTTAACAAACCTTTGTTGAACGTGTAATAAGAAACAATGTTAATAATAACTGGGGCAAAAGCACCAAAGCTGTAATTTCTTTTTAAAATTATCTATCTAAATATTAGAAATAAATAATGAAAATAGATAAAAGGTGTTTTTCCAAACACTATTTTTTTTAACTGCAAATATTGAAATTGTGTTTAAAAAAACTATTTCATTTTTTTAATTGAATTTTTTATTTTAATCTTTAGTGAAGTCGTAACTCTTATACACAGCTTCACCTTTTTGTTTTCATTTTCAAGTTTACATTTTATGTTTTTATATTATTATTATTATTATTATAAAAATAATAGTTACAATAATATTAATAATAATTATACTTAAAATAATAAATTTAAAAATAATGGTAATATTAATAATTATTATTATAAAATTAATTTATTATTATTAATATAATTTTTGTTATTTAATTTATAATATTATCATTAATAATATTATAATTATTGTTATAAGAATAATATAGTTTATTAATAATTATAAATACTATAAGAACATTATAATTTATTAATATTAATAATTATTATAATTATAATAAAATTACTATAATAATACATATAAACATATTAATAATAATAATTATTATTATTATTTAAATTTTATTATTCATTATTATAATTATAATAATAATAATAATAATAATATTATTATTATTATTATTATTACTATTATTAGTTTAAATTTATTACTAATAAAATACATTTTAGTAATGATTATTATTCTATTAGAACTAATAATCAATAAAAATATAATAATAATTTAGAATTATAATAATGAATAAATTAAATAATTATTATCAATTTTATTTATTATTATTATTATAGTATTGTTATTACAATTAAAATCATTATTAATATTAATATAATTATTTATTAATTTATTATATTTTTATAATTATTAATAAACTAAAATATTCTTATAATATCAATAATCATTATAATAATATTAATCATAATGATAATAAATAATAAAATAAATTATGATAATTATAATTTAAATAATATATAAAATTAATAACAATCATTGCTCATGTTATCATTATTTTTAATTTTATTATTTATTATTTTTATTATAATTATTATTAATATTATTATAACTATTATTTTTTATAATAATAATAATAATAATAATATAAAAACATAAACTTTAAACTTTAAAATAAAAATAAAAATTGTATATAAAAATTATAACTTCGCTAAAGATTAAAACAAAAATATCAAAATAAAAATATATTTAAAAATAAGACTTTTTTATTATGAGATCTCATGTCTTTAAAGCACGATTTATTCTTGAAGTAATTTTTCCTTTTAAATGCTTAAATCGATAATTTTTAGAAGAAAGTACATCTTTCATGTTTTTACCATAGGAAGGTAAGATTTGCATATATTAGACAAACTAAAAATTGAAAGTACATTATTTTAAATTAAAAGAAAGAAAATAAAAAGTGAAAAAAAAAAGATAATAAAAAAATAAAAATGATTTGATTGATTAAAATATTATTTTATTAAATAAATTAAATTATAATAGATTATATAAATATTTCACTGTTCATTTTCTCGAGACAAGAAAGGAAAGAGAAAAAAAAATTTCATTTTTTCAACGCAGAAAAGAAAAATTGATCCTTTTTCATTTGTAGTTTATTTCCTAGACAGGTTGTGCACTACATGCATCATTGTATATGTGGGAAAATTTTGGTGTTTAGTATATAAATCTTCAATGTAAAAGTTGTTATTTTTTTATGGGAATGAGCTTGAGAGGCTTGACTTTGTGTAAAGTAATGGTGAATTTCTCAGTCATGTCCATGTCTGGTGATTGTTCTCCGTCTGCTAGCTTCCAATCAAAATGGTATAGAAGTGAGGCCAAGATGGTATGCACAATCCTGTTAGCTAGTGGAACACCTGGGCACATTCTTCTACCAGACCCAAAAGGAATGAAACCATAATCGTCTCCTCTGAAATCCTTTTCATTCTCTAAAAATCTTTCAGGTACAAATGCATTTGGGTCCTTCCAAGTCTTTGAGTCTCGCCCCATGCTCCATACATTAACAAGAACTTGTGCATCTTTGGGTACATGGAAGCCACATATGTCCACTTCACCCACTGATTTGTGGATTAATATTGGGGCTGTTGGGTGCAATCTAAGGGTTTCTTTCACAACTGCTTGTAGGTAAGTGAGTTTCCATATATTCGAATCTTTAGCTTCCAACCCACTCTCACCAAGAACTTGATCAAGTTCCTTCTTGGTTTTTGATAGTTTTTCTGGGTTGTGTAGTAGCTCTGCCATAACCCACTCTATTGTAGCTGATGTAGTGTCCAATCCAGCCACGAATAAGTCCTGCCACAAAATTATGTTGTAATAAAATTAAAATTAAAATTCATCCTTTCACCCATGCATTACTGCCCTATTTGGGTAAGAGGGAGAAAAAGATTGAATTTTTAAAAGTGACTATAAAATTTTTAAAATTATTTATATAATTAAAAGTGTATTTAAAATATATATATATATATATATATATATATATATATATATATATATATATATATATATATATATATATCGACTAATCTATTAATCCGTTTAATAAATAGGTGAAGATCTATAATTTATTTTAATTATAATAGATGTCCGCATCGTTTTTTTGGGTTAAAGACGGCAGATCAAAATATCCACGTTCACAGTTTATGATTTCTAATATTTAGTTATTTGATAGAATAAAAATAAAAAGAAAAAAATAAAATTATTTTAAAAGTTGGATAATTTGATTAACTTTATAAGAAATATAAAGAAATAATGACGTGAAAGATAATATATTTCATATTTTTTAATTTTGTTTCACTTGATTTTAATTTCTATCAGAATTATTGTTTTGATGTTAACCTTGCCAATGGACCAAAATTACGTGTGTCAATTACGTTCCAGGGACTTCACATAAAATGTCAAACCAGTGACTGGTAGTTTTCGGTGAGCCGAAATGACACTTGAACAATTTATGCGTGATGTGTGTTCAATTAACGTCTTTATTAATAGAACAAAAATGCTATCCTACGATTCACATCAATATAAATTATTATTGGTTAATTTTTATTTGAACTTGAAGTTCCATATTGACTTATATTGTTAATTTTTTTATTATTTATATAATTTAAATATTTATATAACTTTAAGTTATCTTTTAAAAAATATTAAATATTATACTAGTCTTTTAATTTTTGAAAATACCAAACATTATACTTAATGCACTGAATCCAAATGATTTACCTATTTAAAAAGTAACTATAAGATAATTATATTTTTATTATATTTTTCTTATAATTTAATAATTAGGATGTATTATTATATATGTTAAATTATTATATTAAAAACAAAAGAATTATGAAAAAGGAAGAGTAACTTCCTTATATTTATTATTAAAGAAAATGTACCTCTTCTCAAGTCAAATACTTTTATTATGATATTAATTAAAATAAATAAATATCTATTAAAATAATCAAGGAAACTAAAATTTTCCATGATTAGATAAGTATTTAAGAGAAAATATGCTTACAAAATAAAAATAAATAAATAAAAACACTCAATGGTACGAGGAGAGAAACATATTATTTTAATTTTAGTTTTAAGAAACATATTGCACTTAAATCCAACGTTAATAGTCCATGCTTATCTTATATATTGCGAACTTAGTATCTGAAACATTAATTAAGGAAGTGTGATTGAATTTTTGGTTGGTTTAATACTTACCAGAAATAGATGTAACACATCATGGCGTGTTAGTTCTGAATTTTCCCTTCGTGTGATATCAAGAAATGAGTCTAACACATCATCTCCATCAATGGAATCAACCCTTTGAGTTCTTTCTTCAACAATACAATCGAAAACATCAAGCAACGTTCGGTAGTAGTTTTGCATCCTTTGTCGTGCTCCCTGTGGATCAAGTCTACGAAAAATAGGGTAATAGTCTGCAATGTTAGGTTTTGAAGCTTCTGCGAGCACACTAGAAATAACATTCCTAAACTTTTGAGAAATACCAGAGCTATAAGAAGCCAAGTCAACGGAAAAAAGGGTGTTTGATATTGAGTTAAGCACTGTAGTAAATGCAGTCTCACCAATATCAATAGGAAGACCCTTTTGGCAATTTTCATGCAGGTAATCAAGTAGGTCCTTCATCTTTTTTTGGCGTAGAGCTTGGGTGGAATCAAGTTGTTGGGAGGAGAAAATTTTGGTGGCACAAACTTTTCTAAGGGTCCTCCACTTTGTTGACACGGGCAAGAATACTACAGAAGAATGATCATGTGAAAGTGCTTGGACAGACTCAGGTATAAATCGACTAGCCAAGGCTTGGTCATTTTTGTGAAGGGCTTCTTTGGCGATGCTTGGAGAGGAAATTACCACAGTGGTGATAGTGCCTATCTTAACAGTCATAATAGGTCCATATGTTTTGGAGAGTTTATCAAGTGCTTGGTGCAGTTTTGCTGGGCCAAGCTGTAATATGTTTCCTATGATGGGATAACTGGGTGGACCAGGTGCTAGCTTGGGATATTTTGTGTTTTTGCTACTAAGGCTAAAGACTAAGATATGGATGCATACGTATAAAACGGAAATCAATGCGATGAATGTCATCTTGTCCATGACTTGTAGTTATTGTGGTTTGTATTGCAAAATTAAGGGAGATGTATATATAGATCAATTTCGTGTGGAAAAACTAATAATTTTATTATTTATTATAGAACCCCATCCCCTTTATTTATTATTAATTATTTCTTTATATTATATTTTTATAGCTTTGAATTATTATTCGTTTAAGAGAAATGTCATTGGCAGAATTGAACCCAAGTACCTTATTAGAGTCGAGGTCGATACTCCAACCACTAAGTCTACTAGAATTTCTTGATAACAATTTACAAATAAATTATATTTATATACAAATATACAAATATATTTATATATTTATATTTTTATATATTTTTATATTTATATATTTATATATATATATATATATATATTTATTTATAATTAAATATTTATTTTTTAAAATTATTTAATTTAATAAATTATTATAAATTAATCTAATTATGATTAAATTAAATTATTAAATCAAAATATTTTATTTTTTAATTAGGTGAATAATTAAATTAGATTATCTAATTTTACCGACGGATATATCCGTCGGTAATTAATTGTTAATTTGCCGACGGATTTACCGACGGATTTACCGACGGATATATCCGTCGGTAAATTCATCTATAAATTACCGACGGATTTATCGACGGATATATCCGTCGGTAATTAATTATTATTTTACCGACGGATATTTCCGTCGGTAACATCAAATTTCAAAAATATTTTATATCCGTCGGTAATTTTCGTCGGTAATGATTATTTTCCGACGGCTATAAATCCGTCGGTAAATATCCGTCGGTAATACGCGATTTTCTTGTAGTGTATGACTGGTAGAAAAAACAAACCACTTATTGTATAATTAGGACTGAAAAACAAATTACATCTAACAGACATTTTAACCCGTTTTAAATTGATAAAACGAGATGATATTTCTACTCTGTTAACCTATTTTAATTCGTATTGTTTAGTCTATTAATTCAATGAATTAAGATATGATTAATCCAATAATCCGTTTCTAAAATAGATATGTATATTAAAATTGAAATAATAAAAATTATAATTAAAAATATTATATATATTTTTTATTATATAATTAGAATATATAAATATATTATAATATTATAATTTAAATTATAAAACTAATAAATTAAACTTAAATTATAGATTATAATAAAATATTTTAACACAAAAATATAATAATTTTCTCAATCTATTTAATAAAATATTAATTAATAAATAAAAATTACAAATATATTTATATAATTAAAAATATATTTTAAAAAAATACATATAAAAATATTATCAAACTAACTCGCATTTAGAGAAGACCTATTGTCCCATCTTACCACTCCCAACGATCACACAATTTCACAAAATTAAATATTTTGGCTTTATTATGTTTTTAATCTTAAAATTTAGAGTATTCTAATTTCAATTTTTGAAATATAAAAAAAAATAGTTTCCCAAAATGGAAAAAATATATGATTTTAGTTCCTAAAATAAATTTCAAGGACTAAAATAGATTTTAAAAAAATATCCTTTTTTTCCATATTTAGTGATTAAGAAATAAAACCATAAATTTTACTAAATTTGAATGAATAAATTATTTTTTTATTTTAAATGTGAAGGATTAAAAAAATTATTTATCCTATATTTGAGAGGCTTACAACATTAATTAAACCTATTTTTAATTGTATTTTATGAGATAATAATAATAATATATTATACATTAATAATTTGTTGAACATTGATCCAAAAAATCATTATTATTATACCATAAAGTAAATTTGCCCTAATTGAGAATAAGTTAGTATTATATATAAAATTTATCTTTTACAATAATATTTCTACTAGATTAGAATTTAGAATTAAAAAATATAAAGATATAATATTATATATATATATATAACTTAAAAAAATTCTAAATTATAGATTGTTTTTTGGTCGGGTAATATAATCTTCTCCAACATTAAAATATATATTTGTGTGATCATCCGTCAAATCAAATAAACAATAAATATAAAAGAAAGATAATTATTCAAATTTAACATTTGAGTGAATCTATTTAACATAATAATTATTCATATCTTTTCACTCACATATTTCATCTTACTTTTATTACATCATATCACATAAATTGTAATTAGATATTTCATAAAATTAACGTATTTTAAACATATGAACTAACATTTACATGTTAATAATAGATAATAATATAATTCTTTTACCAAAAAAATTGTAATATTTTTTTTAAATCTTAAAAAAAATATCATCTCTAAAAAAAATAAGATAATACAACTATTATGCAATACATTAATAAAACGAGAAGAAAACGTTGTTACTTTTATAAAGAGAAAAATAAACACCAACATATAATTTTTCCGATGTAGGACTTCTCTTCGACATTCTTTCACTTGAAGATTTTGATTAAATTAATCAAATCTTCACAATACATTATTATTATCTTCCATGTTATTATTGTAATAGACCTTTAGTAGGATCGTCTCTATGTACACTTGTTATTGTTAATCGACTGTCATAACATCTGCTAGGTTCTTCTTACCTTGTCCTAAAATATAAGGTAGGATTTCTTGCAATGTGCAAGACACTCTGACTGTCACAATACATAACAATTTATTGTTGTTTGTGCTCGAGTTCCTCCATTATCCTCTTAATCCAAATAGTTTCTTTACATGCATGGGTGACTGCCGTACAACTTATGTGATAGACAGAGCTACAACATCATATAAGTTGGATAACCAGTTATTCCCTCTCCAACAAAGGTAAACTCATCAAGATCACCAGCAAAACCTGGACAAACATAACATCTGACAACTAGCTTTATCATCTGAAACATAATACAACATCCAAGGTTCCTTTGATAAGAATTTTCTTGATAATACGCATGTTCTCCATCACAATTTGTCATTGATCTATTAATCGCTCTCAATGTTTGGTCTTGTACCTATCATGGTATTCATAAGACTTCCCACTGTCGATACATACTGCACTCGAGACATTTCCATCCTCTCTACTTTATTGCTAGGACTCATACTTAAGGATAACTTGAAAGAAAATGATATAAAAAATTGGCTTACACTCATGCATGTTGAAGCACTGCAAGACGTTCAGTAAGTAATTCTTCTGATAAAGTCAAACTTTCCTATCTTTTATGTCTCAGTGAATTTGCATCCCTAAAATCTTTTTTGTTGTCCCTAGTTCTTCATAGGAGACTTCATAGTCAACTGTGTCTCTAAAACCTAGATTCGAACTTTGTTGGAGTCTACCACCAACATGTCATCCATATACAAAGATAGAATGGTAAAATCATTCTCATCAAATCTATTATTAATAGGTACAATAGTTTGAACTTAGTCTGATATAATCAAGGTTAGTCATGAAGAATCAAATCTTTTGACCTAATACTTGGATACCCGGTTTAAATCATATAGTTATTTGTTCAACTTGCAAACCAAGTTTCCTTTTTCTTTATTGTCTTCTTATTAGAGTACACCAATCCTTTCTCTAAGTTTATCTTGAAAAGAAATATATTTGTATATCTGCTAACAATAATCTTGTGGATAGTGAGATCCACAGGAAACACTCATTAACATTATTAGGATATTCCAAGAATTTATTTTTCTTGAACTTTGAAAACACAGAATTCCTCATGATGTGATATACACATAATGATGTAGGTTCACTTTAGTTCTTTGAAATAGGGTGTTGGATTACTTAAAAAAACCTAGGAAAATTTTCTACTGGACATTAAGATAGCAAACTATCTAGATGTGAAAGTGCATTTCCAACGGCTCAAGAGAGGAGTGAATGGAATTAATATTGATTAGCAAAATAACATGTGAACAAGGAGTAAAAAATAGAAGAAAAGAACAACAAAATGTAAGATATAGAAGATGGTGATGGTAAGGAAACACGCCACTACTCTTTGGACAAGGGTCATAGTAGACACACCAAGTCAAGAGATAAGTGGTGAAACCGCCACTTGCTTAGGATCAAGATAAAGTCATGGAGTCTCCACCCTAGGGAGAAGATGCTCACAAAAATATGGTTGGACAAAAGAGTATTTTGATTTCAAATGTTCAATGTGACATTTTTTTTATTATTATTATTTGTATAAGAGTAGGAGGTCAAAAAATATTACATATATGTAAAAGTAATTTACATCACTATATAAGATATACAATAGAAGAAGGAATTTTATTTTTGATTTCTTCTATTTTTTCTACGATTTTACAAGTATCTACATTGCCGGTGGAAACAAACTAATTAAGGGGTTTTGGAAAAAGGTAGGAGGCATACAAAAGGTAACCACTACTGGCCCATCTAACATAATGAGATTTCCCATATCATATACAAATGTTATTATTGAAAATCCTGTCCCTCTAAAAGTAACCGAATTGCCTACAACATTTGTGTTCCAAGTAGTTCCGGGAAAGAAGGCAGTGATGCTTGCAGAAAAGGGATTTGGAATATTTGGTGCCTCCATCTACTTAAGTTGATTTTTAAATAAAACATGCACAAAAGATCACAATAGGGAGTGAGAACATTTATCAATTACAATAATACAATCTTATAATATATAGATATATATGTTTCAACTTCCTCAACATATTCTATTTTATGAAGATTTAAATTAAATTTGTAGTGACTAGTCAGGATAAATGAGTTCAATTTTAATCACTCTCACAGTGATATTTACTCATTTAAATCACCAAGGTCCAACCTCCATCTACAATATCATCAAATCTTCACAAATAGATATTATTGTAATTGAATAATATAACTATAGATTAATAAATAAGATCGTTGCATTACTAGAGATAAAATAAAGTAAACAAACAAGACCAGTACGTAACTGGAGATAATTAAAATAAGACCAGTGCAAGACTGAAGATAAAATAAAATGAACAAACAGGATCAGTACATAACTGGAGATAATTAAAATAGGACCAGTGCAAGACTGGAGATAAAATAAAATAAACAAACAG